CCAGAAATAAGGAATGTAAATGAAAGTTAATCTCTAGGGCACCTGGGTGGCTCAGTCAGTTAAGCAGCTGCCTTTGGCTCAGGTCATGATCCTAGGGTCCTGGGATGGAGACCTGCATTGGGCTCCCTGCTCGGTGGAGAGCCTGCTTCTCCCTCTCTCTCTGTGCTCTCTCTCTCGCATTCTCACTCTTTTTCTTGCTCTCTCAAGAAAATGGTAAACTTCTAAGTATCTGGATTTGGGAGAAGATATTTGCAAATGACAGTACAGACAAAAGATTGATATCCAGGATCTATAGAGAACTCCTCAAACTCAACACACACAAAACAGATAATCATATCAAAAAATGGGCAGAAGATATGAACAGACACTCTCCAATGAAGACATACAAATGGCTATCAGACACATGAAAAAATGTTCATCATCACTAGCCATCAGGGAGATTCAAATTAAAACCACATTGAGATATCACCTTTCACCAGTTAGAATGGCCAAAATCAGCAAGACAGGAAACAACATGTGTTGGAGGGGATGTGGAGAAAGGGGAACCCTCTTACACTGTTGGTGGGAATGCAAGTTGGTGCAGCCTCTTTGGAGAACAGTGTGGAGATTCCTCAAGAAATTAAAAATAGAACTTCCCTATGACCTGCAATTGCACTACTGGGTATTGACCCCAACAATACAGATGTAGTGAAAAGAAGGGCCATCTGTACCCCAATGTTTATAGCAGCAATGGCCACGGTCGCCAAACTGTGGAAAGAACCAAGATGCCCTTCAACGGACGAATGGATAAGGAAGATGTGGTCCATATACACTATGGAGTATTAGGCCTCCATCAGAAAGGATGAATACCCAACTTTTGTAGCAACATGGATGGGACTGGAAGAGATTATGCTGAGTGAAATAAGTCAAGCAGAGAGAGTGAATTATCATATGGTTTCATTTATTTGTGGAGCATAACAAATAGCATGGAGGACATGGGGAGTTAGGAGAAGGCAGTTGGGGGAAATTGGAAGTGGACGTGAACAATGAGAGACTATGGACTCTGAAAAACAATCTGAAGGGTCTGAAGAGGTGGGGGGGTGGGAGGTTGGGGGAACCAGGTGGTGGGTATTAGAGAGGGCATGGACTGCATGGAGCACTGGGTGTGGTACAAAAACAATGAATACTGTTATGCTGAAAATAAATAAATAAAATGATTAAAAAAATAAATAAATAAAATCTTTAAAAAGTTATTTCTGATTCTGATTTTTTTGGATCAATATTTTTAGGGAAGACATCTCCCACGTGGCATAATAACTTCCAGAAGCCTGTTATGAATTAAGTTATGGTCAAAAGTGGGCAACTATGAGTAGAGAGCAATATAGACATTAATATGTTTCTGAATGATGTTAGAAAATCAGCACACAGAGTTTTTAGGAGGCTCACCAACAAATGAGAACTGCAAACAAGAAACCTAAAGAGTATGTATGGTGCATTTCTTCTATCTTAATTGCCTTATAAAACCCCGAATCCCTTTCTAGGTCTTCCCTAAATTGACTGTTTTAAAGCATGTTATAGAAAAGATGTCGAGTGACTCTTCAGAGGGAAGTCCAGAGGTTTACTACTCATGGCAGTAATTCTCAAATTGTAGCAAACCTAAGAATCCATTGGAGGGCTCATTAAAATACAGATGTCTGGGTCCCATTCTGAGCATTTCTGATTCACTTGTTCTAAAGTGGAGCCTAAGAGTTAACTTTTCTGACAAGTCTTTAGAAGATAATAATGCTGGTTGTTGAGGGACCACACTTTAAGAATCATGGGTCTGGGTGTCTGGGTGCCTCAGTTGGTTAAGCATTTGCCTTTGGCTCTGGTCATTATCCCAGGATCCTGGGATCAAGTCCTACATGAGGCTCCCTGCTCAGCAGGGAGTCTGCTTCTCCATCTCCCTCTGCCCCTTCCCCCTGCTTGTTCTCTCTATATTTCTCTCTCTCTGTCAAATAAATAAATAAAATCTTTTTAAAAAAGAAAAAAAGAAAAAAAGAATCACTGGCCCATGAGCTGGGTTGTTGAAATTTTCTCAAACTAATGTGGCATAATGAAGATGTTCCTGTTTTTTGTTCTAGATACGTGTCTACCACATAAGTCTAAATTTGTGTGAGGCTCATTAGCTATTGCTGGCTAACATACTTAATTGTATTATTAGTGGACTCTATTTATACAATATAATTTGTCTGCTATTGACTGCCACAGAATGATTAGACTTTATATCTGGAAGAATCCTAAAAAATAATCTGATCTAACACCCTAATTATGAAGATGAAGAAATGAATGTCCAGTGTAATAGATCTAAACAACTGTGATTTCCAAATTGTGATTTACTGTCAATAGCCTTTGAAGAATTGTCTATGAACTAAATAGCTACAGTAACATCTTGTGTTCTTATAATAATCATGACTACCCTTTTGTTTGTGACAGAATTAATTTTCTTCTCAAGATAATTAAGAATTTCACACTGATGCTTACTTTAATTTAATCAGAACTTATTTTGAACAGCAACAAGTAGAAATCAAGGCAGGAGCCTCCTCTTGACCAAAGGGTTTCCAGCCAAAAAGAAATGGTATAGACTTAGTTATGTAATATAGATTAGGACCCAAGGAAACCCTAAGAACTAACTGTAACAATGTCTACCATTTTAATAAAACAAATGTAAGACTTGAAATTTATTTCAAAAGAATAAAAATCTACTATTTGCCAGATAGTACAAAACATGTTCATATTTAAGATCTCATTAAAATCTCATAACTAACCTATGAGATTAAAAAACTAAAGCTCTTATAGTTTAAATAGCATAGGCTAGCAATATATTTTCCCATGATAAAAACACAAAAGTTTTCCTAATATATTTACCAGCACTTACTTAATTTAGCTGCTTGACAAGTTGGCACATTTGTATTCTCCTAAGGCCTGATGATTTCATTTTCAGGAAGCAAGAATACAAATATCCTTTGGACAGTCAGGAAGTCTAAAAATTTGTTTTAGATATATATATATAGATAGATATCTATATATACATAAATAAAATAGTATGGACATTCACCCTCCCTCTCGCCTTTTGGAGAAAAATAGTGCCACTGCCAAATTAGATAACTTCCTTTCCTGGAAACACTTTTAGCATATTATTACAGTCTCAAATAGTTTGAATAACAGATTCAATGTTAAACAAAATCATTTTTCAGCAGAGGAGACAACAGTCTTTTATAGAGGTGGTCCATAAACTTTTTACTAGTTAAATTTGGCTCTAGGTTCCACAGATTCCTTACAAAGAGAAATACAACTTACCATCCAACCTTTCTTATGTTAACTAAATTCTTCGCAGTCATTGATGAGGGATAGAAGCAGAAAAATGTCCACCTTTAGTCCAGAAGGCTGACTTATAGCTTACATAGTTTTGATAAGGATCAAATAGGTACTGGTTGCGGCATTCTTAAAGAATCTCATATCTGTTTGTGTATCTTACCAATAGCTAATATCGAGCTGAATGATAAGCAGCAGAGAAATCTTGTGAAAATAGTTTTAGGAGTAGAAATTTGAAGACAGCTATGATCTAATATTCCCTGCACATCCCCTCCCCCTTGAGCATTAAGCATATAACCACCAGTTTCATATAGCAAAAGTGCAGCTTTTTCTGCCCATGGGCACTAAGTTGCACTACAAAATATCTGAAGCATTCTTTCTTGACCATTCTCTCCAGACCCCATTTCATAATGATGAAAATTCGTAATTGCAACTGACTCAGAACTTTGCCCAGGTTCCAAGATCAAGTCAACATTAAGAGGTTCAACTAATTGGCAGTGACAGAAAACAGCCCAGGTTATAAATGATAATCAACAGAAAAACTGTCCTTTACTGACATTTACCATTCAGTAGACATACCACCCCATATCTGAAAGAAACTTGAAGGCTTATAGAGCCATAATGAAGACTCCTTCTGCCTACTAACAGAAGATTCAGAAGAAAGGCAAGAAGCAACATCACTGAAGGCATATTTCAAGAAGCCTCACTAAAGCCAATACTTAGGAATCATATCCCAAAATAATTTTATGTGTGCTTTAAATACTTATCAGATGTTCATAAAAATAATCATGATTTATTTTCTTGTTTTCATGATTAAATTTGATGTCTTTATCAATAAAATGGAAAATGGAACCCCAATTTATATCATTGGGCTAAATAAGGATCAATTTGTGGCAATCAATCAGGAATAAATCTGAGGTTACTGATTAATAAAATATTTGTACTTGGAAATACACATACTTTCATTGGATTCAAGTTATTCCTGAATCTAAAGCACTATGATCTCTTTAACATTACCATATAGATGATTGATTGGGATTCCCTACTTTGAATAAATATACATGACAACCACAAAAAAGTATGATTGAAATATATTTCAGATTTCTTAGGGAAAGCTATTGCCCAAAAACCCCAATAGGGGGCGCCTCGGTGCTCAGTCCTTAAGTGCCTTTGGCTCAGGTCATGATCTCAGGGTCCTGGCATCGAGTCATGCATAGGGCTGCCTGCTTCTCCCTCTCCCACTCCTCCTGCTTGGATTCTTTCTCCCACTGTCTCTCTCGCTGACAAATAAATAAATAAAATCTTAAAAAACAAAAACAAAAACAAAAACAAAACCTCCAATAGGACCTAAAAAGCCACTACTGAAGTCTCACATGAGGGTTCTTCTGTCCTGAACCATACAGGAGAAGACAGGAGAAGTGAAGTAGCTTACCAAACGGTTGTGTGATTACCAGCAACTTAAGAATATACAACAAAACGCACGAAGAACGCAAAATTCTCAAAAATGAAAACACAACAACTGTTCAAAATGATACATACCCAATGTCAACTCAGTAGCAGGAGAACCCAATATGCTGACCAGGTGGAATTTAGGTTACACTTCACAGAGAAAAAAACCATATCTTTCCCATTAAACACAGAAACAAAGAAAGCACTCTAACACTTACTCTTGTCTTTTTGCCAGTTTCATTTTCAAAACACTGATTGTCTTTATTTTGCTCAATACATGAAGCATTTTCTTTTGGCCCACTGCAATCTGTAAGCTAAAAAAAAAAATAGTTTAAGAAAGCAATACTTCCCTATTTGTTCTCTGCAATGTGAATTAAGTGTTTTTCAAACTTTTAGCATGCACATTAAAATGTCTACGACCTGGATAAATATTATTCAGTATTGCTTATGTTAGTTTTAGAATATGACTGCACTTTCTAACCCATTTTTATATTGCTCCCAAAAAGAAAACATAAAATGGGACAGTTATTCAAAGGCAAGTTTTTATAAATTTCAAAGCTTTTCACCAGGGACTGTTAAACATAGGTGATTCAAGTATAACTTGATAATCTGGTAAAAGCTGAACATGATTAATAGGAAGATGAACATAGAAGGGCTAATTTCATCTTATGTATATTCCCATACTTGGAGGAATTTGTTGGAGCCCTCAGAATTAGCAGAGGCACTGACTATTTTCATTATGGGCTATCTTTTCAAGGATCTTTGTATAACCACAGCTTTGGATGATAAAAATATTTACTTCCAGAGCAGAAGATAAGTTTGCTTACTGAACATCATAAAAATTCCCGTTCCCTAGACTGAGGGTTATTCTCCACTGCATGGGAATGTATCACTTGGCCAATTTTGCATCATCCTACAGGAACTGGGGCTTGAGAAACTGCTATCTAGCTACGCTACAGTGGTAAATAATAAAGTCCCTTGGCTTTGTCCTAGGAGTCTTGTGACATTCTGGCATTCATGAAACCATGTCACATTCTTAGATTACAAGTAGGGTTAAATCTTAGCCCCTTCACAGTTCTTGACAGTTGTGATGAGGACAGAATGCTGACACTCATGTTTTTCTGGAAAAGAAAGAATCAGAGACTTGCAGATTGATGAACGGGATTTCTAGGATCCCCTTGGGAATTGGTAGCCAACATGTTAATGAACTTTATGCTCAACTGCTTAATAATGATCCTCCAGTTTAATACCTGTTAAGGCATTTACAAATTATGAATAAAGGAATTTATGAAGTGATTCCAGGCCAAGTACTGGGAAATAAACTCAAAGACAGCTCCCAGATGGTGCCCTGGTTGTTGCTGACTATCCCCTGATGGTGGGACATCCTCACCAATCTACCAGTCACCCTCAAGTCCCAAGATTCATTCTGGATGAGCAGAAGTTCTCACTCTTTTTCAGACTACAGTTATAGGGCAATGTACCCATGCTGATTAGGAAAGGAGAGAAACAAGCAACTATTATGAGCAGAAACCAAGATTTCCCTGATTCTTGTCTATTGTAGATGCTCCTCTTCTTCCATAGTTTACATCAGCCATTGTGATTAACATATTGCATTATAAATCACATGTTTATATATCTGTCTGTCCTATTAGAGTTCCTTGGAGGACAGGTATTCTATCTTACTATTTATCAATTTTTAGAGATTAATAAATATTTATTTAATGAATGAAAAAATAAAGATTAAGTTAAATAAATTGATGAACACTTAACTAAAGGAAAAAAGAAGGAACAGGGCTCCAATCTGGCTAAGAGGAATGTCAAGCTCACCTATCTGTACTAAGATAGCTTCGACACCAGAAATACAGAGTCATTTACTTTTTGCTCAGTCCAGATTGCTGCCATTTTCACTATGATGATGAATGCAAGCAACAATTATGGCAGTGCAGGCTCAGTGAGCAGCTTTATTCCCATTGGTCTCATCAGGGCCTTACCGTGGGCATCCACATGAGTGATGGGCATCTACATGAAATAACACCACCACACCTTGTGTCCTGGGGAAGCACATGGTTAATATGCCAGTCTTTAGGTTGGCAGCTTTGGTGCTGTTATAGGACTTCAGTTGAACCAAAAACAGTATTAGTCCACTTTCACTGAGCTGCAAACCATCTATACACCCCTCAAAATCACAAGTAAATGGGCCTTCTTACTGCACAGAGCTGCTCTCATTGTCCAAGATTCATGGTCCTTCCCTTCCTTGTTATACTGACCTCAGATGCCTTAAGGAAAAAGATGATTAAAAATAAAATTAAAGTTTCCTGCTCCTAAGAGGGAATAAAGGTCATACAGACCCAAAGAAATATGCCCGAGAACTTCTGGGAGGGAAAGCACTCATACTCTTACAGGTCTGTTGCATACAGTCATCCAAATCACAGTCCACTAGGTTCCATAAGCTGGAAGAAGGAGGGGCAGAATTCAGGTGATTGGATTTGGGCAGGGTTTACCATGAAGCAGAAAAGCTAGTTGATCTTGTATATGGGGTCCTTTGGGCCAACTCAATGTAACACTTGTGTGGTTTTCACTGCTGGATGTGTAATTGGTATTAATATTTCATTGTAAATTCTCAGAAAGTACAGAAGGCATTCTCTTGATCAGTAAAAGCTATGTGTAAAGAAATACTAACAGAACACATAAATCATTCCTTCTAATTCTTTTCTCTATTTTCTCTTGGTAGCCCCACAAAAAAGTTGAGAATCTTAGGAAGAAGAAAGGAAATCGTCACCTTAAGGACTTAAAGGAAGCAGGGACAGTAATCCAAGATGCAATATCTTAAAACAACAGCCTAGCATGGCCAGCAAAATAGGCTAATAGGATCTGGAGGCTCACAGTGGATTATTGATTCTGCTGTTGATCCCATTGCCTCAACAATTCCAAACATGCAACTGTAACTAAATCCACTGCACTGACTAATGGCCCTTGGTATGTTCCCTTCCCGTCATCTTTCTTCTATCCCACTGGCACTCAAGGTCCAAGACCAATTTTTATTCATATGGCAAGGCTTCCAGTATGTTTACAGTACTTCCTCAATACCTAAATTCTTCTTCTATTTGCCATTAAGATTTGGTACAAGTGGCTTCGAATTGTTAACTAAGATGGTGTCCTATTACTTGGCAAGTCAGAAGCCTCAACCAGCAGGAGTGGATAGTAAACTCTGACAAAACTGAGGGGCTATCTGAGCAAATTCCCTCCAGCAATCAAGGAGATACTTCTGTCTTTTTAGCCTCAACCATCAAGCAAAAAGAAGCCCAGCACCTTATTAGATTCTGAATATTGGAGCCAGTGTGATCTTACTTGGCCATGTTACCAGCTAGGGCACAAATCAGCATCCTTTAAAGTAAGGCCCAAAACAACTGGCTCTACTGGAAGAGCTCAGCAAGCTGTGGCAGGCTCTTTGTCTTTGCAGCCTCACAACATTACTGACACCTCTGAACTACGAGGCTTTGTGAGTGAGAGAGGTTGATTATAAGCTCTGGTAAAGAGAAGCACCCTATGCTCAAAATCTCCTGAGGCAAAGCTGCTGCTTCAATGGGGTGCTGGATTCACAGGTTTCACTAAATGCCTGGGCCTGCTTCACTAATAGTTTCACTAAATTGAAGCTGGTGGTGTTCCCTGGGATGATGAAATTTGTGTTTAGTTCCAGGTATGCAGAACTGAAAATGGAAGCTCCTCCACTTAGGTGGCAGAACTCAAGGTCATTCTTGTACCTCTGGCAAGTGTGCTTTCTGATAAACCCTGTTGTATTTTTACTGACTCTTGGGGTATTGTCAATGGCCTAAAAGTTCTATCTGTCCTGTTTGAATACTAGAGACTGGCAAATTAAACACACTCCTCCCTGGGGTCATGAACTATACAAATCAGGGCTGCTCACTGTAGATGCCCACTGCAAGGTCTTGATGAAGCCATCTGAAATCAATCTGATTGAGTCTGCACTGCTACTATTGTTGCCTGGATCCACTGTCAGACCAAACATGTCAGCAAATCCACTGTTCCAGGCTGACCACAAAGTAAAGGACTTCATGTTTCTGATGCAGAGGATACTTGGGTACCCTCAAGTAGCTGAGCTTGTCATTTTAAGTCGGATAAGAGCATTTGTTCCCTGTTTGTTTATTTGTTCCTTCATCCAGGCATCCATATAGTCATCTAATTTAATCTTTTATTTTTTCATCTACTAAACAATATGCACTAAGTATTGTTCTTAATACTTATCATTCTCTAAAAATGCATCTATACCCTAGAGATTCGATATTTATGTTAATATTTATTAACTTATTTATTGATTCCTGGATATCAAAAACAGTAAGATATATTATCTATCTTCCATGTATTTCTCCATCCTCCCATCCATCTAATGGGACAGAGAATTCTAAAGACAAGAAGTTATCCAAACAAGCAAGAGTATTCAGTCTAACAGGAAATAGTGTGGACTTTGAAAGGCATTATGTTCAGAAAGAAAGAGCATGGGTTTTAGGGTATGGAAGCAATAAGTGGTCCTTTTATCTCCACTTACTAGCTAGGTGTCATCTAAAATATGGAGATTATCTCATCCACTGCAGAGTCTCCTTCCTCTTTATCAACCATCCCACAGCTGGGTTAGATGCTATGAATCTATAACTTCCCTACCTCTTCCAGTTGGTGTTCCATATATACTTCCTGAATCTCAATACCTTGACTGGCTCTCTATACTTTCATATCTCCACCATTATTTCTTCAACTACTAACATCCCATCAATTTAGCTCTCATGGAAATAGTAATTTTATTCTATCCTTCTATACTTCCTTCATTCTTTAATAAAATAAAATAAAATAAAGACCCTTGATCACTTTTTTCCAAAACTAGCAATCTATCTCTGATCTTCTCCCCAGAATCAGTATTCTTGAAAGATTGTTTACAGACTTAACATGCAGTTGAATAATTTAATGAAAAGTTATAAGCTATGTCCTGCTTTGAAGATACTGATACATACTTTATATGCATTATCTCTTTTACTTTGAAGTAAACACTATCATCCTTGTTTCCTGGGTGAGAAACAGAGAACCTAGTTCTCTCTGAATGTAGTCTATGTATCTAACCACTACACTAAATTCCAGAACCACTTCCTTACCTAAACTCACTTATCCTTGAACCTTTCCCCATCAGCATCACATGGAGACTTTTTAGACAAATCCTTGGGTCTCACCCCGACCTGCTGAATCAGAAACAGTAGGGATAGGATCCTGCAAGCTCTATTTCTGGTGTGAATGTGACACATTTTAGTTT